ATATATCCATCTTTATAAATAAGATTTCCTTGTAAACAATATTGGTCACTCTTTAATTAAACTTTGCATTAGTCATGATGCAGACTATAAGTTTCTCCCAATTCAACATTCCATCGATTGTACCGGCGTCACTTCCCCCTACAACCACCATACACCGTCGCAAAACCACCTCATCACGGAGATTATCTCCAGTCCTCGCGGTGGCTTCACCCACATCTCGCCATCTGCAGGTCACTCACTCAATGCCACCAGAAAAATTGGAAATCTTTAAGTCATTAGAACCTTGGGTTTCTGAAAACGTCCTCCCACTCCGCAAGCCCGTAGAGAAATGTTGGCAGCCCATTGAGTTTCTCCCTGACCCATCTCAAGGGCCCGATCAATTCGAAGAAGAGGTTTGGGCCCTAAGGCAACGAGTTTTAGGGCTTTCGGATGAGTACTTTGTTATGCTTGTGGGTAATATGCTAACTGAAGATGCTTTGCCTACCTATCAGACTTTGTTTAATACGTTTGATGGAGTATGCGATGAGACTGGATCCAGCCCATGTCCATGGGCAATTTGGACTCGCGCATGGTCAGCTGAGGAAAATCGACATGGTGATCTGCTACGGACTTATCTTTATCTTTCAGGAAGAAGACACTACAATACTCTATTGGAGCTGGAATTGTAAGTGTTGCTTTGAGCATTTTTATAAAATTATTTAGTTAAGTTGACCTATAGCATGAGATAACATAGATAGATAGATAGATAGATAGATAGATAGATAGATAGATAGATAGATAGATAGATATATATATATATAGATAGATAGATAGATAGATAGAAGCAATTCCCTGCATAATTTTTGAAAATACATCTTATAAATATAAGTTGTTCATCATGTTTGAATTTTAGGACATCGGAGCAGAGAACAATCCATATATGGGCTTTGTGTACACATCATTTCAAGAGCGAGCCACATTTCTAACGCATGGTAACATGGCTAGGTTAGCTACAGAAGGTGAAGACCCCGTGCTAGCACGTATATGTGGAACTATTGCAGCGGATGAAAAGCGTCATGAGAATGCCTACACAAGAATTATAGAGAAGTTGCTAGAAGTGGACCCAAACACGACTATGATAGCCATTGCGAATATGATGAAGAAGAGAATTACTATGCCGTTGCACCTCATGTATGATGGGCAAGATCCAAATATATTTGAGCACTTTTCTGCCATTTCCCAAAACCAAGGCGTCTATACATCTCGTGATTATGCTGAAATTTTAGAATTTTTCATAACAAGATGGGAATTGGAAAAGCTTGAAGCCTTGACAGGGGAGGCGAGGCGTGCACAAGATTTTGTGTGCGGACTTCCACATAAGATTAGGAGGTTGGAAAATCAAGCCAAGAAATTAGAGTCACGTTCGGTGAAATTTAGTTGGATTTTTAACAAGCAAGTGAATGTTTAGATGTATTGATTTGTAATAAACATGTAAAACCAAAACGTATCATTTTACTAATAATAATAGTCTTTTTGGCTAATCTACTAAAATGAACTTGTCTTTAGTGAATAGCGGTTTGTATTTAGATAAATTATTTTGAGAAGTACTTTTATTATTAGTTTGTGTTTGGTCAATATTTCTAAGTGTTGTTAAATTTCAAATTACGAAAAGATACAGATACTACTAATTGATTTGATAATTATGAAATTTTAATATTAGTAATCTTGTTCTAAAAGAATTAAAAGTATTTATATTTGGAAGAACCTATATGTTTGTCGGACTTCAATAAGAATATCGGGAAAAGGGAAAACAAAGCTTGAAAAATTATTCTATAAGCAAGGGAAAAGGAAATTGATGGTAGTAACAGGGCCAAATTCGTCAAGACACGCAAATTATTTTTGTAGGGAGCAACTGTATGCCTGTAACATACTTTATTTTTACTGATCTATTTTAATGTTATTACAAAAATGCCCCAATACCAGAGACAAAGCAAAGGACATGCAAGTGCTTGAGGCTTTAATAAAAGATATAATACTAAATAGATTTTTTTAATTATAATAAAAGTATATACACATGGAGCCATGTAGGCGCCACGTAGACTAATAAAAATGGTGACATAATAAGTTAACTATATAAGGGCAAATATGTACCCAAAGTTGGATGGTAAGGGTAAATATATCAAAAAAGTATGACGAAGGGTAAATATAATCGTTTTCTAAGAGTACAAGGGCAAATATGATCCTTTTTCGTTGTTAATATCATGTATTTCTGGGTATTAGCAACACAATGGTTTTAATGCATGCATTAACATAATAAAAGACTCAATTGCCCCTCAAAACCCCTTTTTACATTTTTTCCACCATAATAGTGGAGGGTATCTTTGTAAATATTTTTTATGCAATGCATCAAACCAAACAATGCACTAAAATAATCTATGCATAATAAATACAAACATAACTAATAAATGCATTGCTAATACAAACATTATTAATACACTATATTTAGCATTATTCGTATACACTCTGCCAAACGAGCCAAAGACTTTTGAGCTTATAGCACAAGCATACAATGCAACAACATTAATGAAATAACTAATATGCTTTAAAATCTAACTTTAATTACTCCTTGAGGTCCATTCTAGTTTTCATGCTTGACTTTCAATATTAATCAAAAAGTTAATTAGACTAATTGTTCTGATTTATGTTTTGATCGTATTTAATATTATTTCATTTTTTCATCATAGTAAGACTAAAATAAAAAAAAATGTTTTTAATTTTTTTTTTTAATATGACAATATTTTAGACTTATTATTTTTAGTAATCATAAATAATAAATAAATAAATAGACTGAAGGGAGTATAAGAAGCAACCATGTCAACCATAAATTGCTTATTTTCACTTCAATTAATAATATTCTCTCTGTCCCTAATTATTTGTTCACTTTTGAATTGACACACCTATTAAGAAAATAATGATTAGCATAGTGAGTTAATCATTTTACTCCTATTAATTATGAAGTGAATGAATTAAAAAAACTTAAGACTTTCAAAAAGTTCTACCTTTTTCAAAGTAATTAATTGAAGGTATAATAGGTAAAAAGAAATTGTCCTTTCTTGATTTGTCAAAATAAACAAGTAATTAGGGACAACTATAAAAAAAAAAGTGAACAAGTAATTACGGACAGGAGGAGTAACAAGTAAAATAGATCAGACAGTACAGGAAGCTATGTCAACTATTGAGCTACTTGTTCACTCTTTTACTATGAGAGAGAATAACTATGGTTACAAGAACATAAGTAACAATTTATTCCCTTTCGGTTACCATTAAACTATAGTATTATATTGTACTAAAGAAAGTAAAGAAAACAGTAAATTTCTTGGCCCAAAAGATCTTTTACATAATTTTGCTATCACTAAGTGGACACAAATAATAGTGATGATTTAATTTTCATAAGTCAATAATCTTCATAACTTTTACAAAATTGGAACCCAAGAAAAGAAACTTGATCCATGTATGAGAACTCTAAATATATAATTACTTGTCAAAGTGCTGGTTAGATCAAAGTAAATACACCATAATTATCCGCATGGGGGGCCAACGATTTTCTTAATATTTTTCTTTTATAGTCCCAAAAGGACATAATAAAGAAGGGTTACTGGTAATGGAACCAACCTCCCAAATATAACCCTGCAAAACAAGAGAATAAAGTCATTTCAAAATTATATCTTTTATTTTGAAACTAAAGAATATTTATAATGCAAGGGTAAAATAGGTATTTAAAAAAATTGATTTATAAAGAAAAGTTTGACGATGTCAATGATTTTATACCTAATTTATTAAACACGCATTTTAATAAATTTATGTTAGATGTGTTAAATTATATATCATAATCGAAATAAGAATTTATCAATAACTAAGGGATCGAAAGTAATTAAGATGAACATATCCAGTACTTAGTATGTCTGGATGCAACCCATATTCTCTAGCGAAGACGAATGGAACGATTCATTGGGGAAGAGCTGCCTGAATATTAGGTATAAAATTAAAATTTTATTTCCTATAGTCTTAATTTATTTAAACTTATAATATATGATAAAATAGAGTTTTTTTTTTCAAATGAAAAAAATGAAAATTCTCTACAACTAAAAGTTTTGAGTTCATGCATGCTCTTAAAAATGTTATTACAAACTTGAATAATTAACATCATGGAAACAGAAATGGTGCACGAATTGTATTAACACTCATAACTCTCCATCATCATACTCTTCTTCTCCCAAAGAAACGATTGAAGACTTTGAAGAAGAAAGAAGAAAGAAAAGAGAAAGAAGAGGAAAGAAGACTTCAGACAACTACCCTTCAATAATTGTCTGAAGGTGACGTGGAATAATCTCAACCTCTAATCAAGAACGAAACGGATCAAATGTGGACCGTTGGATTGATCAGTCTAGAATATTGCACTCACATGTTAGGCATGTGAGGAATAATAGTTTGTTACATATGGATAGGTGCTCTACAAATTAGAAAGTGACAGGTGTATATTGTTGTTGCTTTATTTTATTTTATTCAGTAATTATGCTTGTATATAGAGATCGTATTAGGTATGAATAGATATTCAGAAATTTTCCCAAAATTCTCTACAATTTCTTTCATGGTATCAGAGCAGTAGCTCGATCCAAATCAACATATTCCTTTCTGAATCATCAATTTCCTAAGAAATGGGAACCCCAGCAGCTGAGACTGTTCTTCCTTCTGAAAGTTCTTCCACTCTGAATGAACAACCTAGTCATGTGATGAGGATTGATATACATCACCCATACTTTCTTCACAATTCAGATTCACCTGGGATGAACTTAATCACTTCAAATTTTGATGGAAAAGGATTTCCAGGTTGGAGGAGATCCATACGCATTGCCCTATCTGCCAAGAAGAAACTTGGATTCATCAATGGTACTTGTGCTGCACCAGATCCACAAAAATCCACGGTATGCACAGTGGAGTTGCTGCAATGACATGGTAATATCATGGTTGTTAAATTCATTGACAAAGAAATTGCAGACAGTGTAATTTACTCTAAAACAGCAAAAGAGTTGTGGGATAGCTTGGAGCACAGATTTGGTAGGACAAATGGTGCTAAATTTTATCATTTGCAAAAGGAACTGTTAGGAACTATTCAAGGAAATTCTGATATAGCAGGATACTTTACCAAGCTAAAACGTTTGTGGGATGAACTGGATGCACTCAATATCATGATGTGTTGCTCTTGCGTATGTGTTTGTGAGGGTAAGTCTAAGCTGGTTAAGTCATTGGAGGATCAATGATTGATACAATTTTTGATGGGGCTTAATGATGTTTATGCCCAAGCTAGGGGAAACATTTTGATGATGAACCCATTGCCTAATGTTGACTATGGTTATTCACTCCTTTTACAGGATGAAAACCAAAGGGAAACATATGAGCACAACTCATTCTCTAATGATGCTATAGGTTTTATGGCTAATTCTCAGGGGAGAAATGTTCAAAGATCTGGTAACTTTGTCTCAAAAGGAAACTTCTCTCAGGATAACTTTGCACCACAGAGAAACTCCATTCCTAATCAAAGGGGTGATAGAGGGAACTACAAGAACAAGGGGAGAAGGAATAAGTATGATCCAAATGTGTCTTGCACACATTGTGAAAAACTGGGCATGTTTATGATAACTGTTACAGGAGGATTGGATATCCTGATGATTTTGAATTCACTAAGTCCAAATACTTCAATTCCTCTAAGCCTAAAGGGTTTCAAGGAAGGGCAAATGGGGCTTTCCCAAGTGAGGACAACAGTGAGATCCAAGGCATGACACAGCAACATGGAACACCTAGCAACATTTTTGATCAACTCAACAAGGAGCAGTATGCAGCCTTGGTAAAACAGGTTACAAGAGACCTGAAAATAGAGCAGAATAGCACAACAATTAGGTTCAATGCTTCTGCCATTTCTGGTACAGTTCAAAAATACTCTGCCTCATGTTTAACAATGTTTAACTCCAGCACCTGGATCATTGATTCAGGTGCTTCAGAGCACATGTGCTTTGACTCTCAATTTTTCACCTTTTTAACTTCTCTTCCTGTGCCTTTACATATCACATTGCCTAACTCTTTCAGGATAATTGTGACCCATACAGGAAGTGTTCCTATACTGCCCAACCTGACTCTTCATAATGTGTTGTTTGTCCCAGTTTTCAGATACAATTTACTGTCTGTCAATAAGCTATGCACTCAATACACATGTGACCTTCTTTTCACTCCTAGTTGTTGCATTTTACAGGGCCATTTAATGAAGAACAATCAAGTTTTTGGTGATGTCAGGGATGTTCTATACCTGTTGGAGCATGTCAGTCCTAAGTTTAGGATTTTATCTAAAAATATAGTTTCTTTTCCAAAAGGAAGCAATTCCATTTCTCAGTACAATTCTGTTTCTTTTCAAAGTTCAGTCAATGTAGTTCCTAATGTTGATCTCTGGCATGTAAGACTAGGGCATGTGCCCTGCTCAGTAATGAAAAAGTTTGATTTTATCAAGTTTGCTCATAACTCAAATTTTGTTTGTGATGTTTGTCCTAAAGCAAAACAAACTAGACTCTCTTTTCCCCTCAGTCACATTCATTCTAAAAAGATTTTTGATATGATACATGTTGATACTTGGGGACCTTACAAGTCTTCTACCTATGATGGCTTTAGGTATTTTTTGACTGTTGTTGATGATTACAGTAGGGGGACTTGGACTTTTCTAATGGCCTCTAAGAGCAATGCTTTTCCTATCCTCAAGGATTTTCTGGTCATGGTTGAAAGACAGTTTCAGACTTGAGTCAAATGCATTAGATCTGACAATGCCATGGAATTAGGAAAAGGTCATCATGAGGCTCAATTTCTTAAATCTCAGGGTATAATGCACCAGACTTCTTGTGTGGCTATATCTCAACAAAATGGGGTTGTTGAGAGAAAACATAGACATTTGCTTAAACTTGCTAGGAGTCTTATGTTTCACTCTAAATTGCCTATATGCTATTGGGGAGAGTCAATTCTCGCAGCCACTCACTTGATTAATAAACTACCTTCCAGAGTGCTTAAAGGCAAGAGTTCCTATGAAATGATTTTTTCTAAGCCTCCCTCATATGAAAACCTTAAAAGTTTTGGATGTTTGTGTTATGTGTCCACCCTCAGTCACCAGAGATCTAAATTTGACCAAAGGGCTGTGCCTTGTGTCTTTTTAGGCTATCCTACTTCTCAAAAGGGGTTCAAAGTCTTAGATTTGGCTACTAAAAAGGTTTTCTCTTCCAGAGATGTCCAGTTTCATGAAAAACATTTCCCTTTCAATTCTCTTGTTTCTCCTACACCACCAATTTTCTCCTCCTTCCTTTCTAACCTACCTGACCAAATTTCTCATTCTCCTCTACTCCCTTATGAGGAGTCTCACCTTTCTTCTTCTTCCCCTGATTTATCTCTGTCTCCTGATCCTGTCTCTATTCCTTATTCTCCTCCAGATTCCCCTGAACCTTCTCCTCTTCCCAGGAGGTCTGGAAGAGTCACTACTGTCCCTAGCTATCTGCATGACTACATTTGCAATAGTATAGTTCTGACTGACCTTACTGAGGCTTGTTTTATTCACCCTTCTAAGCCTACAACCTTCTCTTTCAATTCCCTCTCCTTGTCCAACCAACACCACCTCTTCTCTCTATCACAGGTCACTGAACCACATAACTTTACCCAAGCTTCTCAACATCCAGGCTGGACTGCTGCTATGCAAGAAAAACTAGATGCATTAGCTTTCAACAATACATGGGAAATGGTGGACCTTCCTCCGGGGAAGAAAGCATTACCCTGTAAATGGGTCTACAAGGTCAAACACAAGTCTGATGGTTCAATTGAGAGGCTGAAGGCTAGACTAGTTGTGAGGGGGGATGTCCAACAACAGGGGATTGACTATAATGAAACATTTTCCCCCGTAGTCAAGATGACCACTATTAGATGTTTACTTACAATTGTTGTCAAGAAAGATTGGATGTGAGCAATGCATTTTTGCATGGTGATCTACAGGAAATTGTCTACATGCAACCTCCTCCAGGTTTTCACCCTCCTAAATCTACCCAAGTTTGCCTATTGCAGAAGTCTCTATATGGGCTTAAACAGGCTTCGAGACAGTGGTATGCTAAATTGGCAGGTGCATTGATTTTCCAGGGTTATTCAAGTTCTCTTCATGACTATTCCCTATTTTTCAAGACTACTGGTGGCCTTACATCCATTATTGTTGTTTATGTGGATGACATTCTCACCACTGGGGATGACAAAGATGAACTTTTACGTATCACTACATTTCTACATACAGAGTTTAAAGTCAAAGAATTGGGTGACATACATTATTTTTTAGGCCTTGAGATCCTCAGAGAACAACAAGGGTTTATTGTCAATCAAAGAAAGTTCACTTTGGAGCTTCTCAATGAGTTTCCTCATACAGGTCCTGATGTCTCTACTCCACTTGACCCCTACTCTAAGCTTACTGCAGAAGATGGACCTTTGCTATCTAATCCTACAATTTACAGGCACTTAGTTGGAAAACTCAACTTTTTGACACATACTCGACCTGACTTGTCATTTGCTGTGTTGAAGTTGAGTCAGTTTATGCAACGACCTACTCAATCACATTATTCAGCGGCACTTAGAGTTTTGAGATACTTGCGTATTGATCCTAGCCAAGGCATCCTTCTTTCCTCTGCTCCGTCACTACAACTCCTTGCCTTATGCGATGTCGATTGGGCTTCCTGCAAAGAATCACGTCGATCTGTTAGTGGTTACTTCATCACACTTGGTGGTGCTCCTGTGTCTTGGAAGTCTAAAAAGTAGACCTCAGTTTCTTTATCATCTGCCGAAGCGGAATACAGATCTATGAGGCGTGTCACAGCTGAGATAACTTGGCTCACTCGATTGCTCACTGATCTTTCTGCTCCTCCTCCTTTACCGGTGTCTGTCCACTATGATAGTAAAGCCGCTATTCGCATCGCCAAGAACCCTGTTTTTCACGAACGTACTAAGCATGTGGAGTTGGATTGTCATTTTGTTCGCCAACAGTTCGTCTCAGGTTTGATCACCTTATCGTTCATCCCATCTGCTCATCAGCTGGCCGATCTGTTCACTAAACCTCTGCCTGGCCCTTCTCATCAATATTTGTTACACAAATTGGGGGTTTCTTCTCTTCCCTCCAATTTGAGGGGGGATATTAACACTCATAACTCTCCATCATCATACTCTTCTTCTCCCAAAGAAACGATTGAAGACTTTGAAGAAGAAAGAAGAAAGAAAAGAGAAAGAAGAGGAAAGAAGACTTCAGACAACTACCCTTCAATAATTGTCTGAAGGTGACGTGGAATAATCTCAACCTCTCATCAAGAATGAAACAGATCAAATGTGAACCGTTGGATTGATCAGTCTAGAATATTGCACTCACATGTTAGGCATGTGAGGAATAATAGTTTGTTACATATGGATAGGTGTTGTACAAATTAGAAGGTGACAGGTGTATATTGTTGTTGCTTTATTTTATTTTATTCAGTAATTATGCTTGTATATAGAGATCGTATTAGGTATGAATAGATATTCAGAAATTTTCCCAAAATTCTCTACAATTTCTTTCAAATTGAACCACTAAACATGTAATTAAGTGTAAATATAATGTCCAAAACTTTTATGTCATATGATTAAGTTTGAATTAAATTTGATAAAGGTATTATAATCAATGTTCAAATTAGAAAGAATTAAGTAAAAATATATAGTTAATGAGTTTAACTAATGTGCACCAATAATGTAAAAAAATAAAATTACATTATTATGTCAAGAGAAAAACTTAATAGTACGATAATATATTTATATAGAATTTCTATTGTGAGCATACACAATTTGATGGTAGACAGTCATGCTATATATATATATTGTAATAGGTAATTATTTGCCTTCAAAATTACAATTTTTTTTTTTTATATATATAAATGTTTATCTATAGATATTTTTTGAGTGACCTAATAATTACCTATACAATTACAGTATGAAGTCAAACTCCTTTAAGTCCAACGGCAATAGAAACGGCTGACATTACTAGAGGTCCACCTATAAATCATATGGCCATCCCTATTGCTGCCATCTTAGGACCACACACAATTATTCGAGGTTGAAGTGCCATGAACAACCCTATAAAAAATATATCATACCCACATTGAATATAATGTTACGTTGCTAGGCTAGCATAGCTCGCTTGGCTCTTCGAGCAATATTTTCATTACATTATATCAACTACTTACTAGTTATTTCACTGAGGTAAATTTTGGTAATTATGTGACATACCTTAACTGAACATTGCCATCCCAAGGCCTGCATCTGAAATTATTTTAATGGAATATTTCACCAAACTTGGCATCACCCACATTCCATCTGCTCAAAAAGTTAGGCAACTTTGTTAGTAAGTATTCTATGATTCAAGGAAAGTAAAAGACTTTTTTTTTCCTTTTCTGAAGACATGAGTACTAAAGTTTAGTCCCTCTATTTGACTTCTGAACTGGTTGAACGATCATTTAAACTTTGGCATCATTAAATGACCCTTTATATATTGAGTACAATGCCAACAACCAATAAAAAATTATATTAGTATATTATATTAACCAAAAGTATTAAATTACCTTTATTAAGTTTCAAAATTACATGGTGATATATTAAGAAGTACTCTCTTTCAATTTGTTCGTCTAGTTTTAATTTGACACAATATATAAATGTGGTAATATATAAATATGGGATTGTTCTAACAAAATATAAACTTGTGGGTTAACTTTTGTTTTAAAAAATCTCAAATCATGATATGAAATTTTCAAATCATGATTTTTGGAGAATATGGTATTCCATTTATGATATGAAATCAACATGAAATCGTATGTCCAAATACTGATTCCATCTCACGATTCCATATCGTAATATGGTATCGCATGGCCAGGGCCGGTTCTTGCCTATAAAATTTTAGGCATTGGCCTGAGGCCCCCAATTTTTGGGGGCCTCAAATTTTTATAAATAAAAAATTATGTATCTTAACCCTATTACAAATAGAAGAAATTAAGGAAACATTGTTTTGGATTCTTACAGTTTCTTCGTTAACACTCACATTATTTATCCTTTGTAACTCTTTTTGCACTCTATTTCTTCAAATCTTCGATAGTTAGAGTAATACACTCTTAAAAATATGAATCAACAGTCGAAAAGTGTTAGAACAAAGTGCATTACAAATTATTATTTTTAATTTATTTGTTAATTTTCATATTAAAGTAGGTATACCAAGTTATCAACTTTTTGAATCAGATTCTATGATTCTAACTTTTATCTTTAAAGTTTATCAACTTTATTACTTATAAAATTGTGTTAATAATTCATATAATAATTGTCTCAATAAAAGGAATGTTTTTCAATGCTGAATTGATAAAATCTTACTTAAAACTAATAATTAAAAAAAAAGTAGTTTGAAAAATCATTTATATAAAAGATATTAAGTAGTAATTTACATCTAGAAATTTAGAAAAATAAATGGATATAGATAAATTTATATAGATTTTAGGCCTCTAATAAAAATTTCGCTTTAGGCCATAAATTATGTTGAGCCGCCCCTGCGCATGGCCAAACGAATAACTCGACAGAGAATTTCACGGTGTCGGTATTTTATTTCTTTTAGTCAGGTTAGTAAACCTTATGTAAAATACATTCGCTTAAAATAATCAACAAACTGATCCGGCTCCTTTCCATTTCTCTTCTCTCCATTTTCCCAAGTTCCTATTTGGATTA